GTTGAAATGTTGCAATAAAATGCATTAGAGGCAAGTTTTGGTGGATCAGTCGTACTCCTTACAAATTACAGTTTAACAATGTATGGTTAGTGTTGACTTGGAAGGTGTTTAACAATGTTCATTTTTCTTCTTTAATTTCAAATAATTCTATAATGCCATTTTATTGCAAACTATTCACTCAAAAGCTATTATGAAAGTAACTAATCAAATTACTAAAAATTACTTAGATGGAAATCATTTGCTGAAAACTTGGTCCCCCCCAGTTCAAAAATCCTATCTGCGCCCCTGGTTTTGCAGGGGAGAAAAGTTTCCTTTATGGAAGAAGTACAGCCAACCAGCACATAGAAGGGTAGTGGTCTACCCTACGCAAACAGAGTGCACAGTTTTGGATGAACATATTTCAAACTTTTCTGGATGATGGTCACTTCACAGGAGATTTTTTGGATAAAGGCCTTTTCCAATTCTGCTTTCTAAAGCTTATTCAGGTAAAAGTGTTTTACGGGGCACTGTAATGGCTGTGTTTCAACAAGTATCACATGCAAATGCTCTGTGAGGTTTATTAGTGTAGTGTAGAAAAAATGTGTTTTTCAAAAATGCTATGTCTGAATAAAACAGGAATCCACTGGATTTCTTCTCAAAAATTTATTATTAATCTTCTGACTCCAATCAGGTTCATACTGCACTCTGCAGGCCTCAGAATAAGACCTTGAGATAAAAATCCAAACAAAACACAGCAGCCTGCTCTAAGCAGAGACTCTGGAAAACACTAACTTCCTTTTACTATTATAATGAATTGACCTTTTAATGTACATCTCTTCCTGGTTACACCTCTGGAAGTTTTACCTTTTACGTCAGACGTAGAACGTAACTCATTTTTGTTTAGACTAAAGAAAGAACACAAGACAAGACACACACCAAATCTTTGTCTGCTTCAACCTTGTTTACAATGATCAGAAAGTATAAAATACAATACTGAATCTAACATTCAATTTATCAGTTACAAAATTTCCTTCAGTAGCATGTACTGAGGGTAGAAACAGAAGGGTGATGCTGATGTTTCACTCTGCCACACTTTTACCAAGTTGGGGCACCAGGTCAGTTATTGACCAATATTTTAATCAAACTCATATTTACTGCAATGTGTGATTGCAGGGAATTCTGACCTCAGGCCAAAATACTCAAAGATGAGGAACCAGCTTTGTCTTTTATGGTAATTTATTACAAAAATTTAGTAAGAATCAATTTCACTGAATCATGACTAAAAACAGTAAAAATAACACTAAAGACGAAGCACTAAGGTTCACAAAACAGTTAAAGATGAAAAGGATTGTGTACTTGATGTTATACATCTAGTTAAAGTGTTAAAACCTTTATAAAATGAAAATATATTTTTCCCCAAAGGAAATATTCTATTAATTAAGTAGTTGACAAGAGACCCACGTTAAAACCTATAAGTTCTTGAAGGTGTTAAGATCTGAGCCAGATTGTATTTAGTTACTTTTATCTTACTGCGAGTCAGAAGAATCTTATCAAAGATTGCCATGGCTGTTTAACCAGGTTGTTCTGCAAACACTTACGTACATCTAATGCCTGAGAACAGTTCAACTCACCAAAGTTGGAGATGGCAAATTAAATGACAGTTCAGAAATCATCTTCAGATTATAGTATGATAGTACACACTTAAAAGAAATTGATCATTAATAATCATTAACATAATTTTCAGGTATTTTTATTTCATTTATAATATTAATCTTAAAAGATTAAAACAGATTGTTGAAGCTAATATGGAGTTTTTGTCTCTAAGAAAGTTTTTTCAGAACAAAGTTCAGTTAGTTAGGAAACATGACCGGTGGTGGTCAAAAGGTCATGTCAGGGGTCAAGGTCATTCATGTTACATTAGAAAAAAATGATTGATTCATTTAAGCCTCAACTTTTGCAAAAGCTATTAATTTTATTTTGTTTCATTCATTTATAATGCGATTTTTTATGCAGGATGACCTTGATGATGTTGTGAACACATGGAACTCACACAAAATCCGGCCAAGTGGAGGTGCAGTATCGGGTCGACCAGTGTTAATGTACTCATTTCCAGAGCTTCACATGGCTGAGGATAGACTCAAACCGGTTTCTATGGATGAGATCGCCGTGTGTATGGAAGAGTGTACACCAAAAGACCAATATCCTTGTGATGAAACAGTCTTTGAACTTTGTTGTATGCTTATGGTAGAAAAAGACTGGGAAGCCCCAGGAGATCCACTTGTTGCTGCTGATTTGTATATAAAGATAAGAGAAGAAATACTTCAAAGTCTTTAGCGAATATCAGTGTGTATAAAGAGAAATGATAGTGTTGCTGTTTATCTCAAT